GAGTAGCTGGGATTACAGGCTTGAGCCACTCAGCTTCTCTCAGCTTCCTCTTGTAGTTCTGAGAGTCAGAGAACCTTTCAGCTCCTCTGCAGAATGTTCTAAGCTATTTTATTGAGGAAAGCTCAATTTGAATATAATTTGAATGCAATTTAAATATAAGACAATCACAGCCCTCCCACTGCAGACTTCCATTCTCAGTGGAGGCCTGACTTTCCCTCTGGCATCATTTGCTTTTGGCTCATTGGCTGGTGCTCTACCAGCTGGTCCACACCTCCAACCCCAAGAGAGTTAACTAACTGGGTACTAGTGGCTCACATCTGTAATCCTCACTAACAAGAGTTCAAAGCCATCCCAAGCAAGAAAGTCTGTGGGACTCATCTCCAACGAATCATCAAAAAGACAGGAGTGGAGCCTTGGCTCAAGTGGTGGAGCACCAGTTTGCAGTTAATTAAAAAAAAAGCCAAGGGGAGGCCCTGGGTTCAAGCCCCAGTACCGACAGAAAAAATTAAAAGAGGGTCACCAGCCAAGAACACACACCTCTAGCACTGTCCTTAAAGGAGAATTTTTTTCTCCCCTGCCACCCTGTGTCTTTCAGAAAAGCACGCTGCTAGAGTCCACACAAAGCAGTGTTCCACAACAAACACAGGCTGCCTGTCACTTAGCAACCCAGAACAACTGGGTGGAAAACAAACACCAGCACCCCACTGGCCTTCTCAGCTGTCCAGGAGGCTGGTGGAAAAGGCCGGGCTTAATCTATTTTTGAAGAGACATGAATAATACAGTGACAAACTTAGGTGAAAAGAAAAAGAATACAAAGAAAAAGGTCCCACCTGGAACAGATAAAATGGACGAGGAATACATAAACTCCCACCCAAAACACTGGCACACCAAGGCCAGAAGAGGACAGCAGAGTTGTGTAATTGTGTGCCATCTTCTGTGGTTTTGTGGTGTATGTGTCCCTTAGCCTTATTACTCAAAGCTGGTGCTCCACCACTGAACCGCAGCTCCACTGCTGGCTTTTGGTTGGTTCATTGGAGATAAAAGTCTTGTAGACTTACTACCCAGGCTGGATTTAAACCTCAAGCCTAAGATCTCAGCCTCCTGAATAGCTGCGATTATAGCATGGAGCCACCAGCACCCGGCTTGCACCGAGTATTTTATGAGCATTTCTTCCCAGAGCACTGCTATTATTTCATACACACAGCCATTTCCAAAGCTACACAGCACAGCAAGATGGCAGAGGATGAGGGCGTGGATAGGGAAAGAAGGGGAGACAAAGTAGTATTCCTCTGGGTGAGACGGAAGGAGTGACATTGTCCAAAACAAAATACATTCGTTACTTATGTACCCCCTCTGTACATCACCTTCATAAGAAAAAATTTTTTAAAAAAAAAGGATTTGTGGAAGTGGGGAAAATCACAGAAGCCCCTCCAGAACGGGCAAGCACCTGCTAAGCAGCCTCAATAATGGGGACATAAATTCAGTCGGGCTGGAAATACGTATGTATTTAAAATAATAAATGGCAGGTAGGCACTGACTCATACCTTTAATCCTAGCTACTCAGGAAGCTGAGACTTGACCATCGAGGTCAGGAGCCAGCCCAGGCAGGAAAGTCTAAGACATCTCCAATGAACCAGCAAAAAGCTGGAAGTGGAGGTGTAGCTCAAGTGATAGAGCATCAGCCTTGAGCAGAAAAAGCCAACTGAGAGCTCAAGGCCCTGCCCTGAGTTCAGGCCTTAGGTAGTCTAACCAGCACAAAGTTAAACAAATGAAAAAGGACGAAACAATGTACCCACTGTGAAAGCAAGTCTAAACAAAATAAAAAGCTGGGCACTGTTGGCTCATGACTGTCATCCAAGCTTCTCAGCAGGCTGAGATCTGAAGATCAAGGTTCAAAGCCAGCCTGGGCAGGAAAGTTGGTTAAGACTCATCTCCAATTAACTACCAGAAAAGCAAAAGTGGCACTGTGGCTCGAAGTGGTAGAGTGCTATCCTTGAACAAAAGGAGCTTGGGGAACAGTGCCCGGCCCTGAGTTCAAGCCCCACGACTAATAATAATTATGACAATCAAAGAACTTCTGGTCACCAAAAGCAGAGTGGTGTCAAACAGCAGACACGCAGGTGTTGGGGAATATGCTAGATCTGACCTCAGAGCAGGGTGCACCGGCCTAGCCACGCCACTGCAACAGAAAAACCCAACCCCGAAGCACAAACGACTTGGCCTCAAGTAACCGTGGCAGCCACGGACCGTGAATCACGGGCCCCGTGCGGGACGGCGGGCAGCCCCTAGAAACGCCTGAACCGCCTAAATATAGACGAACCAAAGCGAACCCGCCGCAGACGGCCACATCTCAGCACCACGGAGCTAAATATAAATATTCCATCAGCCCCAGCCACCCGGCCAGCGCGGACTTGGAATCACCAATGGAGACGGCTGTGTTCTGACCCCCCTCCACCGCCGTGGCCTCGAATCTCAATGAGAGGTGGCTTGGGGTGACCCGGGTCACTGCGATCGGCTGCTGCAGCCGGAGCCCCGCTGCCCGGACCCACCGGGGACCCCAGCGCCCGGCGCCGGCCCGCACCGCCACCCCGGCCACCGGGACGCTGCGGGCCCAGGGTGGCGGTGCAAAGCCAGCTCAGGCGGGGGACGTCCCGAAGCCGGACGCCGTCTGACCTCGGGCTCCTCCGTCCACCCTGGCGCGTGGGGTCCAACGCGCCCCTCATCCCAGCAAACGAGGCCGCGGCATCATCCGGATGATGCAACTCCAAGGGGGGCGCCGCGGGCTCCCCACCGCACCCCCGCGGGGAGCCCCGGGTCCGGCCCACCGACCGCCCCGCCTCGGGGTTCACAAACCCACCGGGAC